ATCGTATCCCTTCTGAAGATTTTCATATGTTTTACCTTCAGGTTAATAATATCCCACAGCAAGACATCACTTCAGCCTAAAGCTTTGTGGAAGAAACAAGTGATACATGAAACTGAATGAAATTAAATTTTACATCTGTTCACTCAGGACCCTGATGAGTGATACACGGAGAGACGTAGAAGATGGTGAATTTCACCGAGAATGCAACTGAGAATTGCACTATTGATCACAACATCCACCAGACATTATCGCCTGTGGTATATGTATTTGTATTTATATTAGGCTTGCCAGCTAACTGCCTGTCACTGTACTATGGGTATTTACAGATCAAGGCTAAAAATGAATTGGGTATCTACCTTTGCAATTTGACTGTAGCAGACCTGCTCTACATATTTTCTTTGCCTTTTTGGCTTCAGTATGTTTTACAGCATGACAACTGGACCTACAATGAGCTGTTGTGCAAAATTTGTGGCATCCTCTTGTATGAGAATATCTATATCAGTGTGGGCTTCCTCTGCTGCATCTCCATTGACCGCTATCTCGCAGTAGTGCACCCTTTTCGGTTTCAACAGTTTCGGACAATGAAGGCCGCTGCAATTGTGAGCACTGTTATCTGGACCAAAGAAATAATGACGTGCTGCTTTGTCTTTACACACGGGGAGATCAGTATGGATGCTGAGAGCCACGTGGTGTGCTTTGAGCACTACCCCATCAAAGAATGGGAGCACAATGTCAATTACTACCGCTTCTCTGCTGGCTTCCTTTTCCCCTTCTTTCTGCTGGCTTTCTCTTACTGTGGGATTTTACGAGTTGTCCACAAGAGTCATGGCACTCAAAAGAAAAAGAAAATCCAAATTAAACGACTGGTTTCAAGCACTGTTTTCATTTTTTTGGTTTGCTTTGGACCATACCACATTCTACTTGTGGTTCGCAGCTTGTTGGAGAACAACTGCTCATTTGCTGAGAAAATATTTAATATTTACCATGTTTCTCTCCTGTTGACTACTTTTAACTGTGTTGCTGATCCGGTATTGTACTGTTTTTCCAGTGAAAGCACTTACCAGAACTTTGCCAAGATGCGAGACTCCTGTTTAACATGTTTAGGGTGTCTGAGGACTGAGACAAAGGAATCCTATCCACTGAATGCTCCAGAAACTCCTAACAGGCCACAGCATGAGCAACAACCAGGGTTATTACTGATATCACATGATGGTGCTGGAATGAAGGACTCCTCCACAACTATCATGGGCAGCCTATAGCATTTATCAAAAAAGGACATTAATCTAAAAGCTGCAGCTATGGCCCTGTATCCATCTGAATTATTCATGTATTACAATGGATGGTGTTACCTCCCAAAGGCTTATTAGCAGTGCAGTACGGTGAGGTCTTTTCTGGAGGTGCTTAGACCTTGGCAATAGTGAGGAAAGCACACGCAAAGTCAGTTCAGCTACAATCACGTGTCTGTGATCATTGTGGTACCACTCAAAACCTGTTGTCTTGATGACTGCATTGACTGGAATAAGCCTAGTACTCATGGTGTGTGGTTCTGCTGAATTAATCTTTAACTGCTTTCTATTTGCCCCTATAGCATCTAGAGAAAATGATTCTCTACAAGCTGTCATCACCTGTTGAAAATGTTGGAGACAGAACAAATTAATGTCCCCATATGTACCTTTAAAAAGAAAATAAAAATAAAATTAAACAAAAATGTTTTTGCAACATTTTGTAACTCGCTGAGATAACCTCCTTCAGCCAGTTTTGAGGCCTGCAGAGACCGTGCCAGAACCAAGCTCCTAGAACAGCCAGTGCAATAATGTGAGATGTTCTGGGGCAATATGCACAAGGAACTCAGCATCTTCCAAGACCTTCAGTTTGTTGATTGACTGTTGAGTCTTGGACTGTTGGACGTCATCATAAGGCTCCTGGTAACTTCCAGAGGTATGAGAACTCTTGGCTTTGATGGGGATAGATAATTTGGTCTGTTGGCTTACGAAAGAACAGGAGGTTGGTAGTATGTGAGGCGCTTTGAACTCATGTGCTTCTCTGAGTCACTGTTCAAAGACAAATTTAGTTACATGTACATTCGACTACACCTTGCTAAGGTTTTGATTGTGTCCTTCACAATTTGTGTGTCTTGTGCAGAATAGACCATGTAGGCAATTAAATAACAACGCATTTGTCAGGGAAACTGTTAAACAGATTCTGGATTCTGTTTAAACTCTGTTTTCTCCCATAGATACTAGACCTTAGGGTTTGGTCATTGTTCAGTAAAAAAAAAAAATTAAAATCAGAAATATGATGTATGAATGATCTATGTTTCCTAGTTTAGACAGAAACAAAATAGAGGAATAAGCTGAGATAATGGCAGTTAAAGATGTGGGAGTTGTGCTCTAAAGTATTGTTTCTACCACCATCTCCTCTCTATTTTATTTTTTTTTTTTTTACTATACTAATAAATCCTGTATGATACTTCTTTGTGATCTGCTTATCATACCTTCTTGTAGCTGTAACTGTTACACCATGAATATTGCTTTGTCCTTTCATTTCTCTGGTTTCAAACCTTTCTTGAAACACCTCTGTCTCTGCAACCTGGAGCTGGTAACTTCCAGCAGTATAATCCGTTTTGTTTCTTTTTTTAATTTAAATGTCAGACGATTTTCTAGACAGTCTACTCCTGGTATCTGAAATATGTCATTGTAACACAGCCTTGCTTGTCAACAGTTTCTAAAAGGAATACATTCTAACAGTTTTCTGGAAAGTGCCTCGAGAGTGCACTATTAGAAATAATTAGGGGATGTGTTTAATAAATAATGTTTTTATTATTTTCTTCCTATACTTGTTCATTCTGCCTTTGAAATAACTATCTTATCGCTTTGGCCCACAGTTTCTATTTGTAAGACTACAGATCCTCTCCTCCCTCCTCTTGCAGAAAGGATTTAAGTCCACAATCCCAGGAGGGGATTAGGTTTGCTTAGGTTAACATTTGGTTTGTTTAATTATTTTACATTTCTTTTATACTTACCAAGCTGGATTAATTACCTTCCATATACATTCTTTTCTTATGACTATTAGTGCTGTTTAGCTTTACTTTTCCTCTGATCTCCTACCTGTATCAATGGCATTGTAAAGCAGGGACTGCTGACTGCCATAATGCTGTGCTTGTGTGTTGTTGAGCACCGAGCCAAATACTTGGACTGCCATGACCTGGCAGGATGTAAGACACACACATCGTTTGTTCTAGGTTGAATTATTTGTTGTTGTGTTTATACTTTACTTCTTTAGTTACCCATCTTGTTTAAATTAGACAGCTGGAATGCAGAGCATGCCATATTACATTGAATTGTCATCTGAGAGATTAAGGTTTATTTGAGTTGGTACTTTGATGTGGTCAGCTTTTAGTCAGCTGCTGAAGTTAAAAATCAGATGGAGATTTGTGTAACAGAGTCCACCATTCTGCTACAGTTCTCAGCATTTAACCTGCTAATCCAGAAGAAAAGGGGCGGGGGGGGGGGAAAATTTTATTTTAATTTTTTTTTTTTCTTTTCTTTTCTGAAGTCAATGTTTTATCAATACTTTTTATATTGTAACGGTTAGGCCTAGGTTTCAGAACTGTAACCAATGTGGGAGGAAGGTAATGCTCACTCAGAGCTTTTCTTTCCATCTCATAGTCAATTGGGTTCCACTATGGTTGCGAGAGATATGCTACACACTGCTACTGGGTTAAATACAGTGCTTGGGACTGAACATGCGAAGAGATTTTGAAAACACACATTAGAGAAAAAGACAAATAAATTATTACATTTTATATTTCTTAATGAAATCTGACTGTTAAAACTTGTATTTTGGGGAAAAAAAAAAGAGAAAAGCTTACTAAATTAGGTCTTTCTGACAAAAGTTAGCGTTTGGAAAGAGTATTATACATTGCACCTGCTAGTATACTAAGTCAGTAAGCTACTGAGCACGTAGCACACAGAGAAGGAAATCAGCTGCCTCTTTTCCCAAACAGACATTTTTTAATTATGCCAATTTAGTTTTGTGGGTTCTGTGCAGCAGTGAACACATGCCATCCTGCAAGGTTACTGGCTTTGACAAAAAGCTTAAGCATTCGTATGAAATATTTTACTTAATAGTGATAGTTTGGAGACTTCTAAAGGAGCTATTTTCTAATTGTGAAATTTCAAAGATAGTTTTACTGCAACATCCTTTAAGAAGGCTTTAAATAAAATGAATCTAAAGAAATGTCTGATCCATAAAATAAATGTTGGGAGCTTTCGTGAATCTGAATGTCTAGCAGCAAGTCTGGCATTAAAATAGCTTTCTCTCACATATGTTCAACTGGTTTAAGTCTTTTTCAACTGGTTTAAGGCTGTGTATCCTCAAGGACTTCAGAAGATTAATGTTCAAAGTATGCTGGTATTTGTGGTATGAACTGATTTTTCTCATTCTCAAAGTTATATGTTTGTCTTACATAAGAGAAGGAAAATCAAACTCACCTGCCAGAAAGAAAAGGAGATGGAAGGTGTTTCTGGCTGCTGAAAGTCCACTGTCCTTAGCAGTGGCTAAACACAACTGTCATTTTGATGCTGTTAAAGCACAGTGGTTTGATGCTTGCCTTTTGTACCATTATAATCATTTAATGACAGCTAAAGCATCGGTGCCTGAGAGGTGCAGTGGAAAATTTACCCTGTCCTCTCTGCTGCAAGGGGTGACAACTAGCAGAACTTAAGCCCTGACACTCATCTGGAGTTAAAGTAAAATCAGAGCTTTAAATGACAGAAGTCAGGCACAATTCACAACCATTTGTCATGTACTGGTTCAACATAAGTAGGCCTTTGAGATATTATTTAATTTTGCTTCACTTAGTCTTGTGAGGAGCTGAATTTCTGTAACTGGGATTCATCTAGATTTCCATTTACATAATTTTCTTTCATTTCTAAACATTAACTTCTAAACATTAATTTTTAATCACTATTTATGTATTTCATTCATTTGTTCTTTACAACAGGATACCCTGAAATGCTTACAACCTTTCTGTACAACCCTTTTGTGTTACAGAAAGGGACAAAATATATAAATGGCAAACCACTAATATGAAGGAGGCAAATAGTAGAGCCTACCCTTTACAGGGAAGGTCTGAAACATTGCCCTTTTATTAGTTAAAGCTCACTTGTTAAGAGCTCAGTTAAAACTCTCCCCTTATTTCCTCACACTTCCCCAAACTATCCACGACCATAAGAAGACAGTGTTAGAGAAGTGTGCAAGGGAGCTGTATTTAACAATTTTCACTACCATAACATGTACTGGGGATTTTTTGTTTTGAACCTCACCTCTCCAGTGCAGCTGTTCTCCCCACTGCAAGGTATTTTTAAATCCAGGTTGCTACAGGAGTTACTTCCCGTTGTAGTTATGAGGTTAGTAAAACAGGAACAGCAATGCAATAATATTTCATTTTAATGACATGCTTTCTTTGTAAAAGCCAGATCACCTCTTAGTATATAATATCATTATACATAATATCAATCCATTACCCGTTATAAAATTACAGAAAAGTAAGGTAGACCAGATCATCATGATGATATCCCCTTCTCAATTCACAGAGCTTTAAGGATAACAGTGAAAGGTTGTGCGCAGCCCAAGTATGAAAAGTATGAAAAAGATGAAAAGATCTATTTCTGATCTTTTATACCTTGTGAGATCCTAGGGAATAAGGAAATAACATGGGAGCAACTCTTGATATAGCAATCATTAGGGGCAGTCACTGCTGTGTTTCTTGCAGCAGCTTTTCAATCATAAGCGAATGGGTGTTGTAGAAGGGCAGCCCATCCACCTCCATTTCCAGACTGGCAGTTTTTCCACTGCGGACCCCATACCGCACAAGTGTTTTCAGAAGCTTTTCTTCCTTAAAAACCAAAGAAATAAAATATAATTAAAATCCTGAATCAGACAAAAGCATTCATCAAGATCTTTATTTTAATTATAGGGGAGACTGGCCGTATCTATTTTGACAAAGAATATGTGTAGCACCTGAAACTTAGGGAGTGTCAAAAGGCTTGTATTCTTGACTGCTGTTTAATTACTGAGTGATATTCATTGTTCTCCACACTCCCGTAAACAGCACATTAGTGTCAGTTCAGAAACATGAACCCTTTTTTACCTGGTTTCAAGTTCCTACGTTGTACAAATCAGAATCAGAGGAACCTCCACCCAAAGTATCTCCGAAACTACCTGTCATTTCCCCAGCACAGCAGCTGTCTGCAGATGTGTATTTAAAGAAAAATAATAGAAGGGAAAGGGGATACATCAGGAAAAAATGGTTACAGACAGTACTTGAACAGGGTGTACAATGACTTTCCTTTCCTGCATCTTCCATGATCTCTGCATGCCTTTTGCTCTCTGTTCTCTTTTTTCCTATTGATTTTATGAGAAATCTGGTTGCTTAGGAAAGGGATGGGGAAAAAAAGAGAAGACCCTAAAATTGTGCTTCCTTGGGATTCTCTGAAATAGCACATACTTTGTTTAGAACTGCAACTCAATCTTACATTCATAACACTTATTTTCTTGCTTAATGGTAATGTAAGCAGATAACAAAGATGTTCCAAGTTGAGCTGTTAAAGTACACAGAGGGAACAAAATCCTCAGTTGTGAGCTACGGGCCAGTTAGCATTGCGAGATGAAAAGATGGGATAAAATCAGCTCTGAAAAAACACTAGTTCTATGAACAGTGAAATTAGAAGACCTCATTTCAAATGGACGTATGTCTGGCATAAACTGCTTTGCTTTTATTCTGTCATGAAATGTACACAGTAAAACTCTTTCCTGTCTTAGCATTTACTATAAAAATAATTTATTTCACTAATCTGTCAATAAAAATTTAAGAAAAATAAAAAGTTGAGTCCCATCTTAGCTTCCCCCTGCCCCAACCCTGTGGTAATTTACATAAGACCTTGAAATCATCATATACCTATCTTTTCTTCCCTTTCTTTGCTAGGAATGCCTGTTCTGGTTTCTGGTCTACTGTTTTCTTTCCATTTGTTTGAGACCCTGCTTTGACAGAAACCACCACTGAAACAGCCCTACCAACACCCTTGACAAACAGTTCTATAGGTTTGAATACTTCTTGTTTGATATTCCCATACCATAGTCTCTAGCAAAATCCTTTATCTCCTGGACACAAATTAATGATGAAAACATTATAAAGTTAAAATATCTAATATTCTCTTATTCCGTAAGGAATATAATAGTTTTAGATCTGAATTTAGACACAATACAGTCGTATTTTAAATAAAACAGTATATGGTCAAAATATAAACATTTCTGAAAGAATTAAAGTACACACTGCATGATCAGTTAGCAGAGAATTTAGTGTATTTTGGTAATCTGCTTTCTGAATGCACTTCATAAAGATTTGTCTTATATTTCCTGGAAATGCATCTTAGTTCTTAGCTGCAACAAAGTTAAATGAGGCACTGGTTTTCTATTAAAGCAAAACCATGCATAATTACATGGTGTCAGTCTTGACATCATGTAACAATACAGCAGTGATACATCTATTTAAGGAAATTAGCTGGATACATTGGTGGTAAAAAATAGTGCTACTTTATAATTTATAAAATTATAAATATACATTGGTTTATATCATATGAATGATCATATAGATGAATGCAAATATAAGCACCTGATCTTTCTGCATGGGAGGTTTTTCTTAGCATTGAGTATCTATATACAGAATGGCAAATTAGATCTCTCATGTTACAGAAGAGACACCTGAATTGGATACACAAAAAGTAATTTCTAATTTGAAATGTTTCTCCTACGTATTTACATGTTAGAGCTCTGATCTGCATGGGGAAAAAAAGGCTTGCTTGCTTCATACTATATAACTATACCTGAATAACTGTATTCTACCATCAGATGCTATTGTTTCCATTTGTAAGGAATATACACAATGTACAGTACGCTTCCTTAGCTGTAAAGTGCTGCAATTTGCTCACAGTTCTCTCTTTAGTAAATAATTATGTTGGGAGTGGGGTAACCAGAAAAAGAATCAAATTAATAGAAAAAGAACTTGTTCATTTGCACTTTATTCAAGAAAATAAACTCCCCTATGCATTATAAAGCTAATAAAGAATACTAAAAGAAATGTCACATCTTTATATATTGCTCATTTATAAAGTAATTCATATTCTTATAGGTCATAATTTCAAAATAAATACTATATGGTTCATTTCTTGCTATTAATAAAGAGTTCAGTAAAAGAACAACTGCCTGATATATTAACCTGGTCATGAGATGCAAGGAAATGCAGAGTTGTCTGTAGGATGTTTAGCATTAGCTATGTTTGGATATGTATGAATTAATATATTTCCCTATTGTCACTTCAGTATAAAAGTACTATGAGCATCTGAAAAATCAAACCAATATTGTATTAACCAACATAATTATGATTCAACTCCACAAATGCAAGGTAAGTAAACATTGTTTAGATCAAATTGTTTCTTGCTCATCGAGTTGTCAACAAGATTTTCAAGTATCTCTTATTAAAATATTTGTGAAGACTAATGCATGCACTTAGAAGAACCTCAGCATTCTGTTCAGTGGGAATGGAGAGCTCCACAGTTCTGAGGTTTGTTGCCGTGCAGTCCTGGCGGTGCTTGAACACAAGGCTGCAGAGAAATAACCTTTGTGTTTCAGGGGAAGTCTTCATTTAGTCATTATGATCTATAGTTTTCATGGAAGGAAAGCCATTTTTATAAGAAACAATAAAACACATTATAAGAAAGCTGTTTGGTGCTTAGGCACTTCTTCAGATGTTTTCTTTCCAATTACAAATATGAACACCAAGGCGAGTATGTGTGGTGGTGCTCTTTATCTTGCTAAGGTAATTATTATAGCATTAAAAGAAGCTGGATTGGGCAGAAAGTAGCCATATAAACATAAATGGTCTGAATTTTGTTTTATACTAATGGAGTATGTGAACACTAATGTGTTCAATCTTCTGCACTGTTTACTGTTGTGTGATTTATAATTAAAGATATCATATTTTCTTGTCAGACATTCTGTAATTTTCTTTCCTCCACAAAACTGTTTCCATTAATTTTATCTCAATAGATTTTAGTATTACACTCTCAATAGCCCATTATTGGTTCATTATCAATATTCTCAGCTGTATAGCTTAGTAAAACAAAACCAAGAAGGATTTCCTGTACACATTATCATATTTAATTACAGTATCTCATTACCAGGAATTTTGATCATAGTAGTTTTTAGGACAGATTAATTTAAATGGCAAAACTAGTAGATGTAACTGGAAAAAAACATGGAAAAGTGAAAAGCGATTAATCTATTTTTGGAAAAGATTGCACTGAAAGCTCCCGTATGCTTTTTTAAGTCAAAGGATAAGCATCTATATGGCTATGCTAAACATTGGGATCAGCTTCAGCTTTATGACCTTTAGATGAAAAATGAAAACAGTAAGAATTAAAAAAAAAATAAAAATGACCTACTCTAAAATACTTAAGTGCTTTGTTGGAATTTTGCACAGAATCTCAGGAGAAATGCTCCACTGTTGTGGGTGATATCTATGGTGGACAGATTTACATTTTGCTTAGCATTCTTGGAAGTCACAAACTTACTGTGTTTGTCCAAGTCTCTATAGAGGTATTATGCCAATAAAACTGAAGTTTGAAGTCCTGAAGTTATTACAAACGTTATTTGATCATTGAGAGTATATATATACTTTTTTTTTTTTTTTTAAACGCCACCAAGTTAAAAACAGAGCCACATGCTTAGCAGGATAAGCATAGATCACAGTCATTTTTCACCCCTCTAGGTTATTTTACTTTTTCTCAGTCTGAAACCTTTGCAGTCCCAGAATATCACACTGTTCAGAGCTGCATTAATCAAAACAAAATATTAATCTTCAAGTCTTTCTCCAACTTTAATTTAAAAACATTCAGAACTAATTATAGAAAGTTTCTAACATAACTAGAAAGGTGGAAAAATCAAAAGTGAGGTGCAAAAATCAGAAGTGTGGAGTGCTTCTGTATTAGAATTGTGACTTTTGATTTTGGAAGAGAGACATCTAAAGGAGGGTACAACAGAGATTTATAAAATCATGAATGATGCTAAGGAAGTGAACAGGGAATTTTAATCACTGTATCACAATACAAGGATTTCTGGCACTGCCCATACAACCATAATGCTGTCTTGTGCTTGAAGTCACAGCACACAAATACATTAATTTTTGAGTATTTTTATCTTCAATCTGTCTTGCATTCTTTGCAGAATATTCTTAGTACAGTGTGGCTGCTTGTTCACCAGGGATACCCAAAAGTCACCAAAACACCATGTGGAAGTAAATTACTGAACTGGACCAGACAGGATTTAGTGGCTGGTAGCTGATTCCATCTACATGTCACAAGCAAGTCACAACTCCTTGGCACTAAGAAATTACCTTGGTAACCGATGGAAGTGCTGATAGCCAGACTGTCTTCTTCGATAACCGTGGAAACCCCACAGCTTTCCTCAGGTAGCGGTCATGTATTTCACAGGTGCTGAGAATATACAGAGCACATGCAATGGCATAGCCTCCCCAGTTAGAGACCCCTGCAAAACACTGTCTCTATGAAACCAAACTGTAAAAAACCCAACAATAGTTACTGCAAAGATACCTAACCTGCATAAGTCATTAGACACATACAACTGAGTTTCATATAGCGATGGTGAAATGGAAGGTAGATAGGAATTAAGATATTGACATGAATTTGGAACATTTATTTCAGAAATACACTATTGCTTAACATATTAAAATGTTTCAGTAGTATTTTAGATTGCATTTCTGCAAGTATCCATCTAGCTTAGTTTGTGATTTGTCTTTCCAAGCAAAAACTCAGATGGTCATGGTCTAGAACAGAATTGTCCTTGGTTTAATGTGAAGGGCATGAGCTGTGAGGAGCTGTGTTACAGCCTGGTAAAAGCCTTTTGCTTTTAACCATGCAGAGGTAGTAGATTTTGATAAAGTATCCTAAACCAGGCAAATTGCTGGCTTGCTACTGAGAGCGTTAGATACCTAGGTTAGAAACCTAGAAACCTGTGCCTAAGTACAATATGGACCATTCACTTCATAAATTGGTCATTGCTGAACGCATCTCTTTCACTGCAAATTTTATTTCATGCTGTTTAAGATATTAGGGTAGAATAGAAGTTTAACTATAGCATTCAGCTTTTGTTGTACATTATGAATGTACATCTGTCCTCAAGTGGCTGTTGAAAGAACTTACCATCTCTTCATGTGAGAGCAATAAGACTGATGACCCTGACAGGGTCACACCCACAGAAGCTCATCAATTATACTGAAAATTCATATGTGTATAGACATTTTAATTCCCACACAGATCCCTTCTGCAGTCTTCCTTGTTATTTTATTTAAGGTATGATTTTTCAAGAATATTCAGGATTTGCCCAACTATTTCCAATTAAATGTACTTTCTTCATGGAACATCCTTAATTTCCAGGCATTCCTGCTGGAACCATAGCTGCTTAACTATTCAGAAAATGGACATAGTACAGAGACAGATCTGTTTGCTAATGATGACTTGGACATACAAAGAAAAGGCCAATAAAAATTAGTTGGAAAGACAGGTGGATCTTGTCAATTATATTCTCAAACATCAACAACTGTCCCACCCCCCAAAAAAATCCCTTACCAGCTACAATAGTAAAATCAGCTTCAACATCACAAGCTATAATGTCTCCATTTTTTATGTGCTTCTTTACAGCATCTTGTACTTTGCCCATTCCTAATTCATTTCCTCCATCTCCAACACCTTTATTAAAAGAGGAAAAGACCAAATGAGTATGAATCCAGCATCTAAATATCCATTTAGAAAGCATCCAGGGTCTTCCCCGGAGTTGCTGACAGTTCATAACTCCATACAAGATGATTTATCCTCTTTAATCACGAGTGTCTAAAAACAGAAGACTCTGAATGAAATAGCTGAAAGCATCACCTATCACATGCTAACCTGTAAGTGTATATAAGCAATATATGCTGTACTGGTGCAGGCATAAGAAATCAAAATTATCAAGTGCTCATGAATTGCAGACAGAATTAAGATAGGAAAGTTGCTTATGGAAGGCCTCACATGAGTGTTCTATACAATGCGTGAGCATAAGTACATTAGTACAAATAGAGAAAGAAGATAGAAAACAAATCCAAAATAAACCTGAGAAATTAGCCTACAATTCTATATAAGGCAAGCATAGAAAACTTCGGTATGTTAAAATCTTGAATTAAAAAATTAGGTTAAAAATAGCAATTATTGTGGATAGATAAGCAAAAATATATGTAAGCACTTTGGTGGAAGTAGGGCTTACTGCACTGGCAGTTTTACACAGATCACTATCATTGTGCTACAATGTATAAAGAACTGATCTCTGAGTATTTTTACTGTTTTCATTTTTTCTAGTAAGTTATGAAAAAAAAGCTGGCTTTTGTTGTTGTTGTTGTTGTTGTTGTTGTGTGTTCATACATTCAAGGTATGGCACCTTGATTTTTGTTGGTCAAGTAGAAACACTATGTGTCTCAGTGATTTCAGTAAAATCAATGGAACCTATGTAATTTCAGAGGAATTCTAGACAACCCTATGTTTGGAACATAAAACTGTTTGATGCCATTCAAAGATCTGGAGGCGAGGATAACACATAAACTAGCAGCTTATGTGAAAGCTGGATAGTATAAAAATAAAAACACCAAAAAAAGTCCATCTATTTAAATGGAAATTAAAATTTCCCTTTCACCTGCTAGTCTAAATGGCATCTTCTCAAGCTTGAAGATTTTATAGAAAAATCCTAGTTAATGTCTGTGAAACAGAAAATTGAAAAGGTCCAAGTCCTCACTGCAATGTATTGTATTTGAATTTGAAATGTGATTTTTCTAATGCATAGCATGAGTTACAGAATTACAGTATTTATAATTTACACTTCAAGCCTTGAAAATTTATAAATTTAACACTTTCATTAACTGCATAAATATCTCACATAAGTCTGTAGCAAATTTCTTCTTTAAGTGAAGCTGAAAGTTATTTCTCAGCAGCAATGTTTTATTTAAGTCAAGTCTATATAGTCAAGGAGAACATAACTGTCACAAAACTTACATAAAAGGACTTGCCATGGAACAGGGTTGGGTTTTTTTTTTTCTTATCTCTTTTAACAATCTGTCCACATTTATTTCAGTGTTGGGATTTAATGGTGCTTTCTAAAATCTGCTTGTTGGTAGTACTTTTCAAATAGGCAATGACATAATCATGGTTCCTCTATCACCATATATAAATATGGGAGCTACTCTTTTGTAAGAATCCACAAAACATTTCGATTTTCAAAATCCAAAATTTTGCTCTTAAAATTCTTTAAAAGGCCTAAAATGAATTCTTTTCCTTTGAAAATCATCAACAGTTTCTTTAACCAAAAGATACTAATCTGTTGCTCAGGGGTTTTTTTGTATCAGCCTTGCTTTGCACTTCTTGTCTTTGTGGAAGTCCTGTCACCAGGATGGTTATGCAATTAGTAGATCTACTGCTGTGGATGGATCCCATTAGCAATATGCTGGGACCAAAAGAAGACCACACTGAAAATTTTCATGTACCGTCTGTTTTCTTCTTCCTCTACATGTCAGCAGAGGACTACATTTTACTGTAGATTTCCAGAGTGAGATTCACCCGACAAAAGGCAGCCATCTAAACATAAGCCAGTCAGCTAGACTTCTTTTAAAGTCAGCAGAGAGAAACAGACCCTTCAAACATTCAGTTCATCTCACCCCAAAGCAGACGTCTCAAATATAGATGTCTGAAAATAGACAAGATGAATCCTCTTCTCCTAAAGGCCTGAGTGCTTTCCAGGCAGAGGAAAAATAGTTCTGTCAGATCTTCCACACAATTTTTCACTGATTACATTGGTTTCTGAAACTACATTCATGAAAAATGTAGGAAACGTCAGTCTTCTGTGCTAAAAATCATTTGTATGAAACAGAAACATGTGTGACCACATTTTTTCATGCAATACTTTGGAAAGCTTTTCATTAGCTCCTATATAAATAGCATATAGCTATGTCAATTGTATGACAGCTGAAAAAAATAGCATGTGGTTTCAGTAACACCTCTTAATCTTTTATTTCAGTCTTCTGTAGAAAATGAGCCCTGCAACCTCAGTCTTTCATGTCTTATTTTGTATATTCCTGAAGGTTGCTGCTTGCTCCATTACTTTTTATGATACTGGTACCCATAGAATTGTAGGTATCGTTTATGATTTGTCTGTAGTCAGACTCCTAGATCTGATTTTTTTTAAACACAGATCTTGTTTTAAATGCAAAACTTGACAGCAATTAATCAGCATGTAACAAATGTTCTAACATTTCCCCTCTCCACCTACTAACACAGTACTTCTCACCACTGAGCACACTATATAAAGACTTCGTTAAGGCTGAAAACTTGATCTTTCTAGTATCCTTTTCTAGCCTATAAAGTTATCTGAGTACTCTGCCCTAATGCTGTACAATATTCACCTTGTATTTTGGAACTAGACATATGCCTCCAAATACCTACTGAGCATGAAGAAAGTCAAAGATAGCCCCACCAGAAAACAATTTATCATAATCAGTAGCAATATATTATCATCAGTAGTGAGAGACAAGATGCAAAGCCCAGATTTGAGCCCTGTTAAGATAGGCTTTGCAGAAATACATTGAAAAAAACAACAGCCATCCCAAGAAATTGTAACCAAATTAAAAAACAGACATAAAATGTTAGTATGATAAACAAAATAAGAAATGTTAAGTAGGTGATAGACAATGTAAGAAACAATTATTGTTTTTCTTTAGGTACTCAATTAGTCCTCCAGCATTAAATATCCATGTACAAAAATTCCATGGGAGATCAGAGCAGATACCTTAATTATCTTTTGAAGCCTGAGTTGTTAAGTCATTTTGTACACAGACTTCTCTAGAGAAAATTCACAGCAATGGGACACAGTGAATCTGGATAACTGCTTCTTTTCTTCTTAGTCACAAGCTCATGGTATCTTTAATTAATGACCTTTCATAATTTATTTGAATATTTAGAGAATGTTTAAAACAAACTGCTGAACAGATTCAAATTCCCACCTTGCAGAACACTGAATTCTGCCAAATCAGTAATATACTATGAGCTGCTCCGGGAGATATTTTAAGAGATTAGGGTATTTTTATTAAAGGAATCAGGATGTGATGTTATGTAAGTAGCTAGAGAGACCAAGTCTTTGTATCAACAGTCTAAAATCAGGGAAAAGAATTGAAGTTAACTGCAGCAAACAAAGCTCTGAGGCATTTTGCTAAATATCTTTATGAAAGAGAGCTTTTTCTATCATTATTCAGTTAATCTTTGGCTTCTCTGCTGAGATTTCCAACAGAGTGCTACCTAGAGTGCTTCTTTTTGAAAGTTACTCTCTAGGAATAGGAAAAAAAAAAATTAAATATAAATAAAATGTATTACAAGCTTTAAGATAATACAAAAATACCAGTGATCTCTTCTCTTATACAGATTTTAAATTATTCTAATGCAGTGAAATCAGACTATGCATTATCCCTGCAGGAGCTCTAAATTCTGTGGAAACATTTGAAAAACATCAGTACCGAGAAGTCAATGCTCCTGTGCTTTTAGTAATACTTAGGAGTGAGTCCACAGCACAAGAAGAAAAAAAGCCCGATCAGAAGACATGTTGTGATGTGACTGAGATCAGCCTGGCATGGGTACTTATTTCTAATCTTGTGACACTTATTTCTAATTTTGTTTCTAATATTTATATAGATTATTTATCTCCCAATTGTTTTGGGTCACACAATGTAGCAGGAAGCATCTGATTGTACAAGGATGTTGTACAATGCTTCATATACACACCTTGATCCATGGCATTTTCAAAACCAGAAACAAGAAGGTTTTCAGAAAAAAAAGGGCTATTGACAAAAGAGAGGAGCACCATGTTGACAAAAGCATTCTTATTAGATGCATTAGTCAATGCTAATGTAGTTTAAGCTGGAAGGACAATGTACTCCTTTAAAGATTACTCCTGTTTATTTTGTTAGAGAAGGCACTGTTATAGTAGGTGCAAATATGCAATCCCTGCTTAAGAGAATGTATTGCTAAAAGACAATATAAACTAAGATTCTGTCCAGATTGCTGTTTTAATAAAGGTGTAATAAACATTAAAATAGCTATAATATTTTAATATGTAATGTTTCCATTCAATAGTCATTTGCTTTCTATGCTGCTTTTCACACATAAAATACAGAATACAGTCAGTGTCAAAAACTACACTTAGAGAAGTGTATGTACACACATCGATGTATAGGTAAGACATCTGGGCTTCCTTTTTTGTCCTTAAAGAACTTTGAAATCAACTCCTCCATTTTTTTTTTCAGCTGTGCAAACCCTTCAATAGAAACTTGTCATTTTTCTCCAGCAACGGTCTCTTTAAATTCACCCACAACAAACAGCTGCAGCTCTCAAGCAGTTATTCAGCACCTGCCTCCTGCTCCTCTTCCCTTCCCTTCCCGTAGTTCCTGTTTTGTTCTTCTCTTGATTCTGAGAGTATAACACAAACTCACACATACCTGTTGTTGTGACTCCTGGAATGGTTTGTGCAGCTAAAAATAGTTCATCTATTGGATCCACGAGATGTTTGATGTTAACTTTCCTGGCATTGTAGTAATTGCCATCAGCAGCCATCCCAGCACGCTCTATTGCTATCAGGTGATCAAATCTGGTTAGCCACAAGTGAAAAAACAGAGTAAAAGAGTCAAAGCTATGATTTTTTCACATAACAAAGTCTTCTGTTGACTGCTTCTCCTGTTGTGCTTCGTTCTAACTTGTGACCATTGTGATTCAAGGTAAAACTTGGATACTGTTTTATTATTTCTGAATGTAGTTCTCTACAGTTTCTTTTCAAAGATTAGTCTAGTTTCTTTATACCTTTGGTGCAACTCTGTCAAACCACATTTGCCACTAAGAAATTGTGAAGTTCTTGAAATCCTTCTAACCAGTAACTCTTTGGGTCAGCCATCTGGCCTTGCTCTGTTTCATGTTAAAACATGTATCTTGTCAGACCTCAGTCTCTGTAAGTGTTTTCAAAGAAAACAAAAACATGGCAAATTAATGATCATCTAAGTCCTTGTTAGTGCAAATATAGTCTCTGCTTGAAGTACGTTGTTTGGCAAATGTTCATTTGTTTCCAGTTAGGGAGTTTTTTGGTTTCGGTCTTTGGACTTTGGGGATTATTTCTTTGTCTGTGGCTATTTTGCTAGTTATGAAAGTAGACAGATGTACTGCAGATGTCCTCCATTTTAAGCAGAATTTTAGTACTCGGTTCAGCCACTGTATCTTAGAATTAAGTTATTTTGCTTTTGTTTCTCCAATTTTACTGTCAAGAAGTTACTAATTGTGCTGAATTACTTTGTGTTCTTGTGGATGAGTATCTACAGTGGTTCTAGCAACCTTAAGCAGGTTACTTGTCAATTTTAAAGAAACAATTACTTTAGCTTTTTGGGACTGTGGGATCAATTGAAATAGAAACTGGCTGAAATTATGCATAGCTATAAAACACATTTTTAAAACAATACATAAAATATTAAGATAGTTTCAGGCATACTATTACAACCACAATAACCGTTAGAGCATATACTAACATGTGGTAAGAAATGGGAACTGATGAAGCAAATACCAGAGTGAAACATCTTTTTATTAAAGAGAACAAACTGAAGGCAACTACATTGAAATGTTTTATATGGAAAGATCAATAAAAATAAGCAATGTATGCCTAACTAAGGGAAACGTAAGTTGTCTATTAAATAGTGAAATGTGAATATAACTACTTAGCAAATTCTCCAGTGCATTAAGCCTAATCACACACTTTGTATAAATTTGAATTTTTGCCCAACATTGTATAATCAACAATGCATATTCAAAGAGCTCAAATCAATATTGAGAAACACATGCATACATCTATAATTTTGGGGCAGCTTTGGCTGTCCGAAGACAATTGGATGATCACTTTCACACTACTACAAACACAAGATGTTTTACTAAATCAGATCAGATTCCCCAGCTGTCAGACGAGCCAAAGCTCTAGAAAGTGAACACACTGCACAACTCTTTTCCTAGCTCTTTCACTGACTCCAACATAATACTTCCCCTTCCAGATTTTCTCACTAATTGAAAAACTGGTGTAATAATATATTGTGCATGTGTATATCTATTTATCTATGGAGTAACAGCTGAAAAGCTTTTAGAAATTTTTCAAAGGGAAGGAGCTACTGATATATAAAATATCTTTTTTTTTTTTTCTACTCCAGAGATTCATAATTGCAGAATGCTTAATTGTGGAATAATATGGAATTCTGTACTCTATGTGTGCTTTAATGCCAGTGTTTGGCTTCAAAGTTTGTTCTGCTCATTCTAAGTCTTAAGGATTTACTTGTAACCATTATATCTTCTTAGATCATGGTCATTATTTTTATTATAACTTTACACAATAGTGGTGTGACCCATTCTCAAAAACCAAATACACATACCTAGGTCTTCCAGGATCTCCATTCTCACACAAAAACATTAAAGCTGAATCAGCACTTTCCCTTTGATAACTCAATAGAGGGATAGGTCTCTTCAGGATTCCTACAGGAAAAATACACTTCAAATACTATGTACCTTTTTGTGTGTTTGAGTAACAATAAAAAAAAGGCAGAACATTTAGAATAGTAAGGACTTGGTGTCTTTACACAGTTTCTGATATGCTCGCTACATCCTTACTTTAAGTTAAACTCATTTGGATGTTAGTGCTAGTAAATGGGACCTTGAGATAGAAAATAGGTCTGCAGGAATAAGAACAGACATCCAGAATTCATCACAAACAGCTAATCCAGAATCAGTATCCAGACACGTAAGCAATAACTTGATGCCAGCTAGGTTTAACAAAATGTCACTGTAGCAACACTGATCAGAGCTTAAAGGATGAACTGTGGTTCATTCTCTTGGAAAAAAAAAAAATCCTGTACTAAGTGACAGTGAGATTAACCGAAGCAAACCTTGGCTCAAATTGGCAAGATAAAAACTGAGAAACATGTGTCTTACCTAGTTGAACAGCCTCTTCAATAATCTTTTTATTCAGATTCATGGCTCTCTGATCTGTTACTATGGCAACCTCTTTCTCCAAGGCCTGCAATATAGCTGCAATAGCGAGGGCTCCTGGGGGCCCATCGTTCTCTTCAGGTGGCTCGTAAGTGAAGTGGGTAGGAAATCCAGTTGTTATCAGCACCGACCGAGCATGGGAGATGGACAGGCAAGCCTTCAGCAGCTCGTCCTGGCGGCATAGATGAATTATACCCCGGTCTCCTATAAAAGTGTTTTTAAAGAGAGCAATACACTTCCATATATCATTCTCCTTTTTAAGGTTCTGTGTGGGTGAACCTGCTTACTTTAATGTCATTAAAGGGGTTTAAAAAAAAAAAAAAAAAAGAGAGAAAGAAAAACCTCTGGTCAAGGCAGGAATTAGGGTAATTTCCTCAGGAAACCTAGGAAGGTGTAGGATATGAGTAATAGATAATGGGCTGTGCTTCCAGGTTAAGAACTTTAGTTAACTGGAATTTGGAAATTACTACACCTAGCATGAGTGTAAATGGCTTTTTCTAAGAATTTACTGCATATTGTTTCCTTTCCTTTAGCCCTCTGATTTCTTCTGATCTGTGGTGACAGTTATGCTAGACCATGGCTAGCTATGGAAGCTAGATTGCAACTCAAGCATCCTAGGTCTTAGAGAAGTTTTGATGCAGGCTTCAGATGAGTAAGCTGGTCCTTTGTCTCTGTTTAACTCTACCCACTTAGGGGAGAGCTAATTCCCAATTAAATTCCAATTAATGAAATGATTAACCCCAGAAGTGAGGATTCCGAGACATTGTGAGTAACCTGGGGACTTCAGAAGCTCAGTTAATACAGTGGTATCCAGGTGACTGCTAAAAGATCTTGTAACTTCATGTAGTAGAGAACCATGTTATCTGACCTTGAGAAATTGGTGAATATTAACAGATGTCTCTTTTCATGGGTCAGTTCCTACAGAGGCAACACTGTGTTACCTGTGTATGTCTTTCATTGTTCAAACACTTCCTACCTCCTCTCCCTTCCTTGGCATTCGGGAACACAAGTTCACACCTCAGTCCTTTTGATTTTCTAGTGATCCTGAAAACCACAAATACCAGCATGATGTGCCAATATTCGTGGGCTGATAGTAAGAGTTAAGTCCACACTAGTGTTTTCTAGTGTCCTCACATCTTCATCTTTATCACCTTTGTCCCCACCCCGCACTTCCCTCTTTTTGTCCTCGATTTTCCCTTTATCGTTTTTCCCTCTGTTCATCCTAAATAACATACAAGCAAAATACAGATAGTAGACACAGAAAAAAGTTCTGAACTAACTTAAGTAACAGAAGTAGGGAATATTAGTCTCTGAGAATTGGGGTATATTAGCCAAGATAAAGTACTGTACCCTCTTTTAGCAATAAAATGAGTTAATTCTTAAGTTAGGTCCTGTATTTCTGCAGAGCATGGCATTGTGCCAAGCTGAACTCTAAAGAGTAGGAAAAGGAGAGGCCTTGTGAGTAAAAATGAACAGATTCAAACATATGCACACAGCCTAAGATTGGAAGAGCTGGGCTTAGGCAGTTTTCCACTACTGTCTACAGAGGGTTTCAGAAAATTTGTGGGAAACAGATCAGAATTTACAGCAGACAGAGGGGACTAATTCAACGTGTATTTTAGGAATGGTTGCACTACTCAGTTTGCCTTTATTTCCCTCTCACTTTCCTTGTGCACACATGCAGCCCCACCTCTTGACCTTCTATGGTGGTCAGGTCACTCTGGTCCATCACACCACATCTCAGTAATGAATATGTCAGCAGACCTTGATGTAATTCCTCTCATCAGGGAGGGATGTTTGAAAAGCACATACAACTGCTAGAATCTTCTGGTAGGAGCATATTAATAGTAGTAAAGAAATAGGCTATTTACTAAACAGTGAATACCAGAGTAGCTGTTACCAGCATGCTGAAATGCCCTGTACTTTACATACCAATTTCAGTTTTATTTCATAACTGTTCTTATTCCCTGTGGACTCTCCAGTCTGCTGTAAACATCAGTGCTTCTGTGTACTTTGAGAATATACAGTTGTCAAGATCAGATATTCCATTACCCATAAGGTTGAATGGTTTTTGCCAGATTCTGATATTAAGTACAGTAACAAAAAATGTAAGACCTAATTATATTAACTCACTGTATTCCACACAGAATTTTTTAAATCTTAAAATTGCCTTTAGATTCTTACTGTGTTCTTGAATTTTATGAATATCCAAAAAAGCAGGATAGGTCATATCTACCTCATAACAAATCCACTAAAGGAAGAGAGTTTTTGTTTTTACCTGGATCTATTCCAATTAGGGTCTCTAGAGTCTTTATCTTCTGGGCTGCTTCTGCTGATACAATACTGTAATGCAGAGGATCTTGAGAAATGAGGTGGACTTGTGGGATTTCTCTTGAGGATCTGACTGTAACATTGTCATTCTTTAGGTCAGTAACAAACATGCAGCCAGGAGAATGAGTAAAAGCTAATGGCGTTCCTAAAATGGGTGAAAGAACTACAATTAAACACATTGATACTGCAATATATTGAAATATCAGAATGATAAAATCACAAAAAACTATTTATCAACAGTTTCTGCCGATGACATATCATAAAAACAGGTGACATTTTAAGTTATACTGCAGCAATTAATATGCTTTGAGAAATGAATGTATGCATATACATCTGAAAATGTTTTCACTTTTAAAAAGCTCATGTGGGTAGCTGAGATCAGTTTTTTCTACAATCTCCTCTTTGGTATAAACTTGAAGCAACTTAGGAACTGAACACTGGTACCCTCCAATGAAGTCTGTGAGGAACTGGCAAGTCTGAAAATCGGGTTTGACATATCAATGCACAAGTTTCTTCAAGAACAAGTTAATGCTTAAGTTTGTTGGTGATATTGTTTCCATAAGAATAAATTAGATATTAGGATAAATTGGATATTAGGAAGCATTTCTTTAGAGAATGGGTTGTTGGGCGTTGGGATGGGCTGCCCAGGGAGGTGGTGGACTCCCCATCCCTGGAGGGGTTGAAGAGTCGGGCTGACATGGCGCTGAGGGATATGGTGTAGTTGGGAACTGTCAGTGCTAGGCTAATGCTTGGACTAGATGATCTTCAAGGTCTTTTCCAACCTAGATGATTCTGTGAAATTAATTTTCTAGGTTCTAGAGTGCTGGTGGAAGCTATACTGACTTTCTTGTACCTTTGAATATCCTTGTAACAGGGATATGACAAATAGCTGGCTAGGAGAAGTCTTTTATCAGATTAAGAAAATGGAGATTAGTGTCTCTGCACAATGTCTTGCTGACCTAGCTAGAAGACCTATAAACTAACAAGCAATAATGACAAAAGGTGACCAGTAAGTCTTAGCAAAGGGAATCAGAGTAGCATCTGGTGAGCAGTAAGTTTATTTAGATCTGACAGCATAGTAGTTATCTAAGCTGAAATATTTGCTGTCTTTATATTAATTTCAGAAGTCTTGATCTAGATTATACTTGATTTTGCAGAATTGGTAGGACGTTGCAAAAATCACAACTGGTGTACTTACACAAGCAAAACCTTACTGTGTTAGGATGATGAAAAGGGAGGAGATATTTCTTCAAAAAGTACATACGTGCTTGGTCTGTGATAGATCTGTTGGGAGACTATGGCCAACAATTTAAAAGCAGCTGGGCAACATGGTTGTTGAGGTTTCATATACCACACCGAACCATGTGAGTAGATGATATTTTTTGTGAGAAGCTAGCAGATTCATCTAAAGTAAGGGTACTGGTGGCAAGGCAGAATTTTAACTACCTAGCTGAGAAAGGAGCACAGCAAGATACAAACTGTCCAGAAAGTTCCTGGAATGCATTAATGACAACTGGTTTTAATACAGAAAATGGAGAAATAAACAAAAGTCAGTTCCAGGCAAAGGCAGGATAGATAGACAGTTGCTTTGGGCAACAGACTGTGGAGAGTTGGCAAATTTTTCTCTACTTTTCCTGCAACAAAGATCCATGAGGAAGATGAATAGAGTGCTGGAGAACACAGGAAAGAGCAGGATTTTCAGCTTGGATTTGTGACTGGAGAAAAGGGTTGTATATATGAAAGAAAAAGAAGTCTGTGCTCCTAGTGCTGAGCATATTTACCATAGCTGTTGAGAGCAGTTTAGATAAACATCTGTAAGGAACTACAAGGATGTAGCAGATCCTGCAAGGGGAGAAGTACAAAGCAGATGACCTCCCAAGGGTCTCCCAATTATACTGCCTATGATTATTAAGCTTCTTTTCCAGTAAGAACTAAAAGATGAGATTTTATTCCACAATAGTGATTTAGAGCAGTATATAATACTGTCATTATGGTTTAGTCGCATTTTCTTGCCCTTTGTGCTCATGCCTGTTGGAAAAAGTGCAGGACAGCTCTGTGCAGAGGACAAAGCTTCATTTATGTAAAGTGTGTCACACTTAATTAATTTTAGAACAAAACCTAAAAGCTCAGAATTCCTCATGAGATAATTATGAACTCTTTTCCAGGACAATCAATTTGCTAGCTCTTGACAACATTTTCTAAAGGTTTCTGGTTGTGTTTTCTTCTTTTTCTTTTCTTTTTTTTTTTTTTTTCCCCATTATTGCTTTACTGCAATGTAATACAAAATTATATTTTAAAAGAAGTAAGCTTAAAAACTAATGTCTTTAAACTTCTAGTTTTTAATAATGCTTAAAAAAGATCTTTTGATGCTGCCAGAACTTTAGATTTCTGCCCTTAAAATACTCAGACAAGAGTGATGAGATTTCAGTAGGAACTTCCTTTAACGTAGACCTGTATTTCACAATGGAAAATAGTCCTGCCAAAGGTTTTTTTGTTGTTTGGTTGGGATGTTTTTTAGCAAACCCTAAAATCAAGCCTACTAATCAGCCAACTCAGTCTGTGTTTGGGAAAGAAAAAAAAAAAAGAAAAAAAAGAAAAAAAAGAAAAGAAAAAGAGAGAGTAAAAGAGATTGTAGGATAATTTTTTAAAAAGTCTCCTAACAGTACATACTGCAGTTGATGACTGCTTCTACTCCTGTTACTCCACAGGCCCAAAACACTGGAATATCACCAGGGTAAAGTTGAACTTGATCTCCATAGTCTGGTTTGGAAAGATCTTGTATTCCCAGCAGACCTGGAATTGATCAAAAATGAAATCATGAGAGATTCTGATTAAGTAGTACTACTGCAAAGCCAGGGCGGTGGACCCCAAACATCATTCAATGACACTGAGCTAGGATTGCTACAGTGATAAGTCCCACCCAAGTGGCATATTTAGTTTGCCTTTGAGTGCATGTCCCCAGAACCTGAGATGACTTCTTTTCCCTTTTTGTACTTGATGACATCAATAAAAATGTGTTCACTGTATTTCTGCAACAAAATACGAGCTAGGTGTGTATGCTGAGTTTCCAAGATAATATAAATCTTCTCTGTCATCAGTATTATATTCATAACACTCCCAAACAAGAATAAATAACTGCAATGCAAAATGGGTTTATTCTAGAACACAAATTCTATGGTTTTAGCTTTCTACATTGTTCTTTTACCTCTCTGGGGTAGATAACTACATCTCACTCTTACCCAGCTTTTATTAATTTGTCTTTTGCTTTATTCTAACACCTACTTGTAATATTCTGGGTCATTCTAAATACTTGATATCTTCCCTTCGTTTTAAATTCTTGAGATGCTTTAATATACCACTTTCTTTTTTGGAATTAACTTACATAATCTTTATATATAATAATTTACTCTTTTCTGTTAAAAATAAGTGAATAGTGGAGACCCTCACTTGCCCAATAATCTTGTTGCTCTACTCAAAGTAATAATTTATTACTAGTTTCCCAGATTTCAGCACTCAGACCAAATATATTACTGGGATGTACTGTTAACCAGTGACATCTTTTGTGATCTCCAATGTGATCCTTCTGTGTATGCAGCCCTTGAGTCTACTGATTGACAAATTTCTGTCAGCAGATGGGAATTTTTTTTATTGTGATCTATCTTCATCTTACAGGTGTCTGGTTTTGTTCTTCAAACAGCCTCTTGTTTTATATATATATTTTTTAAATTTTCCCTTGCAAAGAATAGGCCTATACATGTTTGAGCTGGGATTTAAAAAAAATATATATTCTTGTCATTTCTTTTTATTCTTTCTTAAGTGTTGTGCTCAATGTATTCTATTTCAGTATTTTTAAAAATAATGCAGTATTTACTTTCACAGTACTCCACTAAGACACAAAATGTATCCACACATACTTCTCTTCATGCTGTCGATCACTGCTACCCTGTCACTGGAATCTCTGACAGCAAGAATGTATTCACATATAAGTGAAAATGCATACATTTTAGAAAAATGTGATTACACCTTTTTACAAAAACCACCCCTGCCATATAACTTAATTTATCTACATCAAACAGCTTTTATCCAAGAAATCTCTATGTTCAGCTAATTCAAAACCTATTTTTCTTTTTTTCTTTCTCTTTTTTTCCTTTTTTTTTTTTTTTCCCCCCCTTTTTTTCTATTCAGGTTTATAACCATTAGGAAGGTTTAACACATAATAAATTTACTGGTGCAGGTATTTCAGTCCTACCACTTCCCATGGTTCCTCTCTTCATTTTTATACACAGTAAAGTACATACAGAGTGAAAACTGAAAAGCACTAACCAGGATCACCCATGTGAATTGGTGCTCCATGGGCTTCTTTTAATTCAGATGTTGCTATCACAGCTGCTTCCAACTTGCTTTCAGGAATAGGTCTCATTGTGACTACTAAATCGCAGCAAAATGTAGAAACGCTGTAGCAGGGGACTACTGTCTGGCAGTTCAAAAGAATCCAAGGTGTTAGCAGAAATATTGAATAATACCTCTAAAGTATTAGAAGAAATAAGTCTAAAACTTTGTGCTGTACTTGGGTTTAGAAAGGCCACATACTAACATTCATTTTAAATCCTTTTAAACAAAAACTTATTAGCATCCCATAGGTTGGAGTTTGGTGGGTTTTTTTTTTTGGTTTTTTTTTTTTTTTTTTGTAAGATCCAGCAGTGCAGGAGTGAAACATTCCATCCTTGAGTTTCTTCATATAGATCTCTAAAATTTTCAATGTTATGCATTTCTTGCTTTGGTATGAGTAGCATAGACTGTGGTGAGCTCAGTATATTCTGAATATTTTTGGAAAACAGTGGTGTGCTCCCTATACAGAAAGGGAAAAAGATAATAAAAAGTATCACACAGCGACAAATCTACTTGGTCTGAGTTCAGGGGAGCTACAGTGCTCTGTAACACTCAAGGGTCAGGAACTCCTGCTGCTGGCAGCACCCACTTCTACAGAAGCAGCATGCCAGTTCCACACATACAAAATCTTTCATGCCTCTGGAAAGGTTCTTTGGAATTCATCATTCTCACTGACTGGGATACTGAAGTACCTTTTATATTCAGAAATAAAACAGTCCAGTTTTTTAGGAGAATCTCTACATTACATCTAAACACAATTATGCCTCCCTTCTGACCAGGAGTACAGCAAAAACACTGTGTCTGAAAACAATGAGCATACGAATTAAATGAAAAAGGCATGCAGATGTGCACTGAAGTGTTTTTAATATTACAGGGTCTACCTACTGGAGCCAGAATTACTCTAGGACTTCTGCTGACAGTAAAATCTGCACTAGAAACTTGCTGAGCACAGTTATAATTTTCAGTGCTACAGTAGATACCTCAAGTCTTTGGGAACATCTTCTGTCCCAGAGGTCTGAGTTCCTTGCAAATATGCAGTTTAAGGGCTCTACTGTCCCAGGAAAAATCCAAAAAAGGCTGTTGTATGTGCAGAAGAAACTGCTACTGTCAAGGCTCATAAAAGGAATGTTCCTACTGCAAGCTGGAGCTGGTATGGAGAGCAGGACATGTAAAGGCTGTACAAATGAAATGGCTGCCATAGCACACAGGGAAAAACTTTGTCACTGTAAATGAATAAAAAAAGCAGATTGTGTTTGCAGCAAGTTGAGAAAAACACTGATCTGAGGGTGGGCATATTTTACCCTGTATTTTTATGCACTTAGCGCTAGCACATGCCTAAAGTTACTATACAGGTAGGGAAGAACGTCCTGATTTTGAGCAATAGATACATGCACATAGTGTGACTACGGGCAAATATTCAAAGTTCCGACAAAGACTATTGGTGTGTGTATATACTTACCTTATACATGCTTACATTACATTTTTGCTCAACATTTCTTACGGGAATGTTAGCATTTTGAACAGCTTTTTCAAAAGAGAAGCTGCAGCCTAAATAAAAAGTCACCATATCCTTAAGTTGTTCAGAATACTCTTTCAGGCTTTTCCGTGATCCAGTACAAGCTCCATGCTCATATATTCTGTACTGTGGGCAGTCAGTTCTAGTGAAATAAGAGGTTATCACAGCTGTATCATATTTTCTGAAAACAGGGTGAATTGTTTGAATTTACATTAACCCAGTATCAGACCACAAGAAACAGCCTACTACAACCATTTCTTTTCTGTCTGAGTAAAATGAAACAAACACATGCAAAAACCCTAGAACACCTTACTCTGCACAAAAATAAGTCAGTAAACAGAACATTAGAGTTTGGGATGTTTTAGGTTTTAAAGGTAAATGTCCCTTATATGTATCTTCTCTTGGGGTTTCAAAAATTAGGGAGCTTTTTAAGTCTTGTTTTCAGTGTGCGTTACAGGAGTCACATTTTTCAAATTTCAGAGACTCTCAAATATCATGCAGTCTCCATGCCTGTGATACTACTAAATAAAACAAAGCTAAAACCCTAATTCTGCTGGCTCAGGCAGCAAAATATTTAGAAATTACACAAAATTTCCCTTTTGTAGTAGAGAAATACTTGTAATACTGACAATTACCATAACATGATTCTCAAGAACAAGATAATCAGGCTATTATGCATAGTTTTCATTCAAAGGTATAACTCCAAGAAAAGAAACTTGTTCAAAATGTACAGTCTGTTCCCTGAAATCCTCCTAATTACCACCAGTATTCACTGCAGAACTTTGAGAAGCAAGGTTGGTCTGGAGTTACCTGATATCAGAATCGCTACTCAGAGGAGGACATTTCCAATCACCTGGTTTACTTCTGTACAGCAGTGGCAGGGGTCCTTCATTTGCATGGCAAAACTTCTCGAAGTCATCAGCCAGGGACTTGTGTAAAATCACGACATTGGCCTGTTTATAGCCTGAGATTGTGGAAGATAGGAATGACTGGTTATTAATTCAGTTTTTTGTTTGTGAAACAATAACTTTTCTGTATAGATTTCATTAGGTGGTCTATAAAAAGTTACCTGAAGGAAAGTTTTGATTCAGAACTCTATTATTAAAAAAGAAATCTTTTAAAAATCATAGCTAGATGTACTCTGTATGTGAAGTTGTTCACAGCTAAAATAGCTGGCAGACATGGGTAGTACTAGAATACGAAGGCAGCATAATTAATAAACATTTCTATGAATTTATGTATAAACATAATTTATTACCTAACTGGGGAAATTAGTATTCTGTAGAAAAAGACTTTACTTTGCAAATGTTAGCACAGAGCCAAAGAAAGGCTGTTGCATACCACATTTTCACCTTTTTTTCTTTTTTTCATTTAGTACCAAGCTATAAATCATAGCCAGTCCAACAGTAAACTCCTGGAATCTTGACATTATGTAGCCCATTTTTTTAAAGTTTGTTGGCTATGGAATTTTACTGTGGGCTGCAATTTAACAGAAATAATTACAGTACAGGAATAAACTCTTGCCTGTCACACTAAACCTCAGTCATTTCTTCTGTTTCTAATTAAAAAAACTAAAATGAACGGAACTGCCACATTTTCTTCACTTGAAATCAACTTTGATTTAAAAGGTTGTTGACTACTACCATGCAATAGCTTCTAAAAACATGAACAGTTTTGCAGTGAGTATCAATGAAGAAAGCTTACATTCATTTATTTAGCAAAAATGTATTTTCTAAACAGTAGTAGTTAATACCAATGCCATTTCCATTTTCCTGCCTGTAAATACCAGCTGTTCAAATACAGAGAGGCAATTTGGAGTATAACTAGTCTGTGGTGTATAAAACTGTCAAATAACAGTCCCTAACTCCTGTATTGATACTGCCTTGAAAAGTTAATACCGTGTCTGACACCAGACAGGTGAGTAAGAGGCTGCATAGAAGATCTCACTTTCTTAAATACTGTGGTAGTCTGTCATCCAAGAGGCAACTATTTAGTTGAAATCAGTGGTCTGCCTTAAAAGGCTGTAGAAAATCAGCCAAATCTTATTCTTGACCAAAGCTAACAAAGAAATCAAAAGATAAAATTACATTCCCGATGTAAAAATGCAAAGCAAAGGCTGAAGTAAGCATGTATTTGCATACTGAATGTGCCCACAAACTGCTCTCTTGGGAGTACTCAGCACAAAAATTCATTTTATTACTAGCAAAAGTTACTAAATACAGAAGCAGTTTCTTGCTAAATACAGAAATACATTTTTGTTAAATAAACATACTAAATTTACCACTGAATAAAATACTACATGCAGCAACCCCTCAACTTCATTCCTTGCTGTTCCTGTTCATGTGAAATCCACAAGCACTTTCTAATTTGCTGGTGATATTCACAGATTCTTAAAATTATAGTTTTAGTGAGTGCATTCAACTCAGACAACTCTGAATTTACAATGCCAGTCACAGCTGACTGAATCTGCAGGTAACTTTCAGGTATTCTGTAAAGTCAGAAATCTTTCTTACAACTCTTTGACAACTTTACTGCTCCTCCTGGTAACTACCCTTACTTTCTTTATCGATGAAAACATATTTCCCTTCTCATATCTTCTTATGTATATACTTGCATTATCTATCCATCGTTATGAATATATTCATGAGCAATGTTAGTGAAGCTGGACATGCTGATCAACCCATGCATTAATTCAATTCTGAGAAGTTTAGAAAGAGCTTTTAATTTCTTTGGTGAATGACAATGAGTTGAGTTATTTGAGTATGAAACCATGTTTTCCCTCCCCCTTATAATTCCCATTCTTCCTGAGTCAGTAATTTCCAACTTCTGCAACAAATGAAGCAGAAAAACACTTCGGTAACTATAAATCTCTAATTCTTCCTCAAAGCATATCCAATACACTAAGTAAAGCAAGGGGTCTGTGAAGAACATAGTATGTTATCCTACAAATGTGATAATAATATATACAAGAAAAGCCAGATTTGGTTAAAGATTTTTCAAATATTTTCTGCATCTGTAATTTCTCAGTGACATAACTGGGAGTTGCAAACATTGAAAACAAAGTCCATATTCTTTACACAGGTAGAATGATATATTTTCTCTGATGTACCTTTATGATTTAAGAGCACAGTGTCAGGTACTTACAATGTAATTTCAAAACCACCCAAGTGACTTAAGAACATAAGTCAACTTAACATTTTCATCTGTTTTACTTCAGTGCTTTTGATATTCCTACATTCCTTCACAAACAAAAAAAGGAAACACATAGCTATGAATCTAAAATGGAATCACTTTTGCACTTAGATTTAGGTTTACTTACCCTCTGCCATTCCAGAAGTATTACTAATACTGAGTCTGTTGCATCGAATTACTCTTCTTAGCACATGGGGAAGCAGAGTTTTCAAGCCTCCCGACAAAAACATTTCTTCATCCTTAACAGGAAGATAATTATAAATATAAACACACAGCTTTCTTTTTTTTTTTTGACAGTTTAGATTTTGATTTGCTGGAGAATTTAGCTGAAGTTTCCTCCCATGCTCCACCGAAGTTATTATCAACAGGAAATTCTAAGTTATAACTCAAAAGCCAGATCAAAGTCAAAAGGTTATTTCACTGACATTTTACAACTAAATGCAAACAGAATCTTTCAGTAAACTAGCCAGAGACGTGCACTTTAACATTCAGGATAAAATGCAAAGTTTTGCCAGCCTGTAATGTAAGAAGCAGATTTCTTTTCTCCTTGATAAATATTCATTTCCTAGAGTATTCACTTATCTGAATTTCATCGTAACTTTAAATTTGCAAAAGCACAGATGGGTTAACCTACCAAGCTATAATCTGTAATGTTACTTCTCTGTTCAAAATGCTTTTAGACAATTAGCAATGCAATCTTCCAGTAAAGAGAGAATTATATTCAGAAAATGTATTTTAATATATTCCATGCATATTATACTTTTCAAATATTAATTATGTAGAAGTGAATACCCCTGTGGCTATTCTTCCACTGGGAAAGCAGACATACAGATGTTTAAGTCACTTGTCATACAGTCTGGAGTAGAAACAGAGATAAGTATGCTAACTACAATCAATACCTGTCTCTTTTTACATCTTTTGGAGATTTAAGATATCTTTTTGCTGCAATCTAGTCAAGGTTCACACAAAGTTTTTCCCCTCCACCTAAACTACCTAATAAATAAAAAGGGTTTATTACCCCACTATTAGGAAAAAGTAAAAGAAAGCTCAGGGTAAAACAACTTGGCTGCTTATGATTTTAACCTTGGTCACTTTTAAGTAAAGAAACAGAAATATCCTCCAAGTAATCAAAATACCAACCTCCATTTTTTTCTTTAATTCAGAGGAAGCCATTCTTGATGTCATTCATAAGAAGTAATAAACACAATAGAAGCTGTGCTGCTTTATATAAAAGATGCCAGTAAATTAACGTACAATATGATGTTACAACCTTCTAGCAAAAGTTAACTTTTCTGTTAAAGGTCCACAGCTTTTGTACACTATAACTATGACAGTACAAAGTTTTACTCTTACAGTGGAGTGGAATATAAGTGAAACACTTTATTATGAAAATTTATACCTCTGAGCAACTAATTCCTTAATTAACTTGAAGTAAGAGCGGTGATATGTTTTGGCTGAAATTACACTCTTATGGTAGATTGTCTGTCCAAATTGTTTCCCAAAGCTTGCAGAATTCTGAGAGCTTAAACTGGGTGCACTGAAATTTAGAGCAACCTTTGTATCTATTGTTAATTCTGAAATCTTTATATAACATTGTCAGCCAAAATAAATCAGTCTGGATTTTTTTTCTGAACTCTCTCTTACTACTTTCTAACTCTTCTCTTCTTTTTCGCTTTTACATTATCACTCTGTATGCTGCACAAAAAATAGCCTTCATTACAAAATCGTGAACAATTCCAAACACACACTTTAAAGATAACAAGAAATCGGATTTAGAAATGTAGCTGAGCAGTATTCCAGGCCTACAAGTGTCAATTTAAGAGACATTATTCTTACTGTAAAGAGAATTTCTAACACAAGTCTGGAATTATTCATTCAAGAGGTTTCAAATTAAATAAAGTGATCCTAATAAAAAATTTCAGATGTGTTCATTAGATTCTTTCAGATTGTTTTTATTTCTGAGAATCTTTGAAATCTAAATCATCTATAGGATTGATGGCTTTAAGAACTATTAGCTTACTTGGATTTGAGAGACAGCCAAAATTCAGGAAACTAATTTGGGACAAAAGCTGTCTGCAGCTAGGCATTTTATCACAAATGCCCTGGTCTGATGTTGGGCAAGCCTGATTCTCCCCTCATGAAGTATGTGCTCAGTAGCAGAAATGGAATTACCTGTGAGATTTTGTCAGCAAACTTTGACAGCAAGTGGCTAACAAGCTGTAGGACTGTGAATATCAGTAGTGCCAAAATGTTGGTTGTGAGTACTTTACAGAAACGCTTTGGCTTGTTGTTCCTATTTGTGAACCTAGCCCCTAGCTGCAAAGCAGCATGTATTGTTGATGACTGGTTAGGAAGTGAGTTATTTAAATATTAACTTTGTGTAAAAGCAGACTGAATCACCTCTTTCAGATGAGTGGTAAAACTTAATTGATGACTATTTGCTATCACTAAAGTTCCCGAGGTGATTTTATAAAACTGTAGGGAACATCCAACAGGATTAACGTTCTGAGTTATAACTTTAGACCACTGTATTTGCTATACAATATCAGTAATAGATTATACTGCTGGTTTTCTTTACTATTTGCTAAATTTGGATAGACAATAAAAATTGTTAGATGCTCATAGTAAAACCTAGCTTTTGCTATTTGACTTCCTCAGGAATGGCTAGTTTCTATGTAGTATGTTATTTCCTTATGCTGGGGGGGTACCATCAGGTTTAGACTCCCCAACCATCTCTAGGACCTCCTGTAAAATTGTCAGAGCCATTGTGACCATGGGCTGTTTGGAATGACAGGGGAGAAGCACCAAGGTAACTCAGGTCTTACAGCATTTTTTCCACTTTGTCCCACGAGGATGCCTAATGAAATGCACAAGCTGGCTTCAGGGGGCCCACAAGCAGCACTCAAACAGTCTGGTACAGATGTTAATCAATTATCAGGATCTGTTCCTTAGCAGAGGTTTTTCAAGTCCATTCATTTTGTTTCAGAGATAGTTTCAGAAAATAGTAAGTATCAGTTATCTGGTAAAGCTATGTTGGATCATGATACAGATAACACTTGCCTTGCATCCTGTCTTTAAAAGCCTTTAAGAGAAGATGCTGACAGAGCTTTTGTGCCTGAGGGCATCCTATGTGCTGTCCCCTCACTAAGGGACCCTAAGATCTTGCTTTCCAGTCTGGCTAGCCTCTAAAGTAATGAACTTCTAAAGCAGACTAGATATAGTCCTGGGTAACCAGCATTTGAAAATCAGATCATTCACTGGCTGCATAATGAGAAACTTCATACTTAAAGCACCCAATCTGAAAAAACCCAACTATTTCTAAGCCATGTTGCTCACATCAGATTCTCTGACTTACAATACCAACAAGCAATGTTGTAAAGCTTTGTGGCACTGAAGGGTCAAGATCACTCTTAAAGAATCTTTTCTTAAACATTTGGTTCCACATTAGAAGCACAATAAATGCTCGTCTTTTTAGAGGTTTATACGAAGATTCAACATACTTCATGTGTACTTTGAGTTTTACTTACTGAACTTCAGTGAATAAATATTAAAATATATTGTTGTCTGACACATTAAGATGGCACTTAGCCACTATTGGTTTGTGGGCACTACCATATCCTGAACTGCACTTCCACATCTTGACAAGGATGGTGAGGCTTCAAACTGGAAAGACATGGTAATGAGCAAGAATGATCGTTAAGAATGATGTAAGGAGATGTGTGACTAGATAATGATGGCAGTATGGCATATGCCATATCAGTAGTTCAGAATAATGAAACAGAATAATGAGTCAGAAACAATATTGTATTGAAATGACATTATATAATACATATATATTCAGGAAAAAACTTTCCTTTGCATCAAAGTGACAGTCAGGAAGTATAGATATGTACCAGCTTTGGTAAAAGTTCTAAAGAGATCTTGGGTCTGGTTTTAAAAAGTAAAGTAAAATTGTTGTGACATCTTCATTTAGTATATATCTGTGTAGCACCACTCCAGTAGAGTTAAGCAGATACATGCTACCTGATTAATTTGGCTCAGCTGATTTGAAAAATATCCCATTACCTAGAGAACAACAATTTGCGGGAAGGCCAGATTTGGAGCGTGAATACTTTTTTATTCAGAAATTGTGATCACTTGTGGCCATGTGAAGCTCTAAGTCATTATTTCATTTCTACATGCTGTTCTCAGCGCACGAGTTGAGTACAGGTGGCTGTGTGCAATGAGGCGCTCATCTCTGCGGGGGTGATTGGAACAGGACTGGTTCTGAGCCTCATCTTTCTAACTGATTATGAAGAATATGCTCTATTTCTCCCGAATCCCACAACTCATGCTAGTAAAAAGGCATGTTGAAAGGAGTGTTACTTTATCCAGTTAAAAGACTTCGCTGCTCTCAAGAGGTGTACCCTTGCCTGTTATATCACTGAGAGATTCACTAGTTTCTCTCTTTAAGCCTTGTCTGGTAACAAAGTTAGTTACTGTATATCAAGGTAAGAGTTAAATATTCAACAGTAATGCTTGGAAAAAAGTGACCAATACCACCTACTTTTGCCAAATAATCTGCAACTGAATATGAAGCAAGATTTAATGAAGACGTTGCCTTGTCTTTCAGATAACTTGTATAATGGACAGAGTAGCCTCTGCACCACCCTATTGTTTGCATGTCCCAGGCTATTTCTTGTTTCCTCCCTCTTTCTTCTGTTTGCAGTGTGCTTCTGTCTCTGCTTTTTTACTCCCTGAGCTCAGACCTCTATCTCCGTAACTCCAAGCTGGACTAACCTTTGTAGGTCTTGCTTCCTTGGTTTGTCTGATTGCATCCTCTGGCAATATGGGAATTTGGATGTCTTCTCTCACTAGCTCTTTTAAATTTATATGCTTGCTGTAGGTCTCAATTGTACCTTAAACTCTCAATTTTCAACATTAAATGAGCTTTTCATTTTCTCAGTCTGAGACAAAAATCAGAAAACATAAAATACAATAAATGAACAAATGGTTTCCTAGACTTGTAAGATGCAGACTCCTCTGAGCCTCAGCATCTATACTTACATGTAAGTATATATGTATATATCTCTCCCTTTTCAATATTACGGATAGGCTTGGATTGAGCTACAGTTTATAAAACATTTTTACAATCTGCAGAGCATAATCTCTTTAGAGAAAAAGAAGGAAGAGCAGTAAATGAAACATTTTGTATTACCTTAGAGCTTTCAAATGAAAAAGTGAATCCGTAAATTTTGCA